TAGTCTGACCCGTCACCTAGGACCTGTTTGCCTTGGGAGACTCTATCAGGGGCATATAGCCCCTGACAACATAGCTCCTAGGATCACTCGGGTACTTTAAACCCCTCCACCACAATAAGGTGGCGTTTCAAGGAGGGGTAAATTAAACTTATTTTGTGAATTTCCCCTTGAGGAGGAATAAAGCTTTATGTAAAATGAAAAAGAAGAAAGATTAAAAGAAAGGCCTCAGACGTGTAAGAATTGTGCATCGGTGGTTAACTGCAGCTAGGCAATTCATTTTTAAAGGAGGGAAGCTGGGAGATTTGTGTGTATCAAATTTACTCTTGTTTATCTAAACCTTTCGTAATGAAATAATGCAACTGACTCTACATGTTTAATACTGTTATCTGACTTCAAAGTCTTTCCCTCCTTTATTTGACAGTTGTTTCCTTCTCGGTCTCTGTAAACGGCAGCAGAGTGAGACTTCTTCTTTCACGGTCTATCAGACGTACACCTGACGTCGGGCTGCTGCCACGTCATCAGACGCTCCGTCAGCAACAACATCAAACATGGCGGCGTCTGTGCGGGAGAAGCAGGCAGGTCTGTCTAAATGGTTTATGTTGCGTTAATGGTTGTTTTAACGGCAAGGAGCGACGTTAACAGGCTACAGAGAGATTAAACGATCCTGAGTCTGACAGGAGAGACTTATTCAGGACTGTCAGGCCTCTAACCAGCTAGCTAAACTCTGTGCCGATTCTAAACTAGCTACTGGGAACAGATTAACAGATGTCTGTTTCACTGCAGAAGCAGAAACTTTAGAACTTCGCCTTCACATACTGACTAGTTAACTAACCAGACTGCTGACTAGTTAACGGGAGGGTTAACTAGTTGTTTAGCTTGTTAGCTCACGGAATCGCTGGTTCTCTAACGGAAGAATTAGCTAGGTGAAGCTAAAGTGCTGCTAACGATGAAGAAAACCAATTTTATGAAAATGTTAAAGTTGTGAAGCGATTTCAGGCTCGTTGAAATTAGACGGCATCTAACAGAAGTTGAGTTAACCCTCCAAAAACTCGAAGAAATACTGTGGCTTCGCAAAATATAACGATTTCCACATTTCAAATTGATTTATGTTCTTGTAACACTTCAACATAAGATTATTTTATGCACAGCAAACTTTCACGTTAATACCAGAGAAATGCATTTCCTGTCGAAAATGGGCGTGGATGCTGATATGTTGAAAGATCGTCCTGAAAATGCCTGAAATCAATTGCTGAAACAGCTGAAGGATGAGAAGAAATGGCTGAAGTTCTTTGTTGAAATAGTTGAGAAGAAATGGCTGAAGTTCATTGTTGAATAATCTGAAGGATGAGATGCAATAAATACAAGTAGGAATGTCCTTGAAGAGCTGCACAGTTTGATACCAGAATGGCCTGTATAGCTGAAAGAATGCTGGACTTATAAAGTGCCCAAAAAACGGACAGAAGATCCCAGAATAATCAGGAGAACATAAGCAAAACACAAAAGCACTCATAAGTTTAAGATCCCAGAATAATCAGGAGAACATTAGCAAAACACAAAAGCACTCATAAGTTATATGGTTGGAAGTGTTCAAACAACCAGTAAAATGAGATCACTGTTATTGATCACAGGCAGGAAATCACAAGTGTCAGTGCAGCAGGACAGATTCAGTGCAAAGATTAGTAACTTTAAAACTGGGAATACAACATACAGTCGCCACAGAAAGGATGCAGGCTTCAAATGTCTTATAAAAGTCTTCAGAGCCTTTGCTGTGGCTCCAGACTCTGCTCAGTTGCATCCTGTTGAGGTGTGTCAAAACCTGACTGGAGTCTGTCTGTGGCAAACTGGGCTGACTGGACATAGTGTAGAAAGACACACACCTGTCTGTATAAGGTCCCACAATTCACACTGCAGGTCAGGACACAAACCGAGACATTAAGTCCAAGAGATGCCTGTCCATGGTGACACCTTCAGATTTGTTGTTTTGTTGAACAGTCCAGAACCCAAAAAAAGAAACATGTGAGAGGTTTTGAAAAAATTAGCTCAAAACTATCAGTTTGTTATCAGAATACTAGCACATAGGTTTTCTGTCATTTGACTAATCAATTAATTGACTAATCGTTGCTGCTTTAATCAAAAGGTTAAGTTCAAAATGTGACACACAGATGGGGTTAGAGACTGAACATAGAATAATTTGGGGTGGTGCTCTGAGCCATTTCCCAGGCTCTGCTCTGGACCAGAACATCTCCCGGAGCCTCGTGGTGATAAAAGCAGCTGTGCTCATGTGTGTAGGCAGCAGAGAGGAGGAAACACTTCTTTTTTGCTGGATAAAGGAAGATTGGTTTTGGGCTGACTGACTGGTTACTGTAATTACGTGTGTTTGTACCTGCAGCCGCTCTGAAGCGGATGCTGAACTTCAACGCTCCTCCTCTGAAGAACACAGCCGCTGAGCCAGTATGGAAGGTAACACACACACACACAGAGTAACAGTGTGTTAGTGAAGAAGAGACACTCGTTTCTGATGTATCTGTCAGTGAGAACTGTTGAACAGTGTGTTGGCAGTGAATGTCTGGTTTTTACTCTGTTAATTTGTCATCTGATCTCACTGATCATTCTTTTACGCTGTACTCCACGTTGGCACTGCTCTGGTCTGCTTTTTGTCTTAAGAGAACATTAAACACTGGCTACTTTGACATCTTCATGCTCTACAGAGATCACCAGACAATGTGCTAACCTGCTGCGAATTTGTTACTACTGTGAGATCATGTATCTGTTCCTGGACCCTGACGCAGCAGCTGAGCATGATGATTTACTGTGTCACACTTTAAACCCGCTGTCCATTCATAGTGTTTTGGGGTGCTTCAGAGAGAAGCTTCCAGCAGGTTAATGAATCAGTACTGACATGTCTTTGCCCTGCGACCTCTGACCCCTGTGTTTGTGTGGCTAGGTGCTGATATACGATCGGTTTGGCCAAGACATCATCTCCCCGCTGCTGTCGGTCAAAGAGCTGAGAGACATGGGCATCACCCTGCATCTGTAAGGGACACACATGTTTCTATTGACTTATCTGTGAGAACACTGACTGATAGAAAACATGCCCTACCTCCATGATCCTAACCTGAATGTGAAACCAGCAACATTTTAACACTGCTTCAACAAAGATGTCCTCACTCTCAGGGACTAAAACCTTAGTGGGTCTTCCCAAAGACAGTTACCTTTGTTTTAAGTTCAGTTGGACATTTCCAGGTGTCATTAAAGCAGCAGATCAAATCCACTGTTTGTGTGTGTCTCTTTAGTCTGCTGCACTCAGACAGAGATCCTATCCCAGATGTACCAGCCGTCTATTTCATCATGCCCACAGAGGAGAACATCGACAGGATATGCCAGGTATTCTGTTTGCTCACATGTTGTCACTGTGTCCCCATGGACGTACAGACAGCTGTCAGTGGTTTACTGTGATACTGAACGAAACCTAAACACAGGAGGGTTCTGCACCTATAAGGAGCGTCTCTTTCTGTGGTTTCTTAGATGTTTACTGACAATAAACACCAGATAAATCTAGAAGCTTGTGTCATGCCTGTGTGTTCAGATTTCACAGTTAGAACTGAGTGGTTTTTCATGCGTGGTGCAGCATTTGGGTGCTAAATGTTTTCAGTTACCTCCATGCTGCTGGTGAGCGGCCCAGTAACACCTGCATGCACCTGTCCCGCCCTCCTGCGCCCCCTCCTGGAGGCGGCCTCACAGTTTGAAAACCTGTGGTTTCGATCATCATTGCTGTTTTTGGATCCCCAGTGTAAAGTCCTGACAGCCAGCTGCTTTAAATCCTAAACATCATCCTGGTGTTGCTTCTTTGTGTGTGTGTAGGACCTGAGGAACCAGCTGTATGAGTCGTACTACCTGAACTTCATCTCTGCCATCAGCAGGAGTAAACTGGAGGACATCGCCAGTGCTGCTCTGGCTGCCAACGCCGTCAGCCAAGTCACCAAGGTCGTCATGGCTACACTTGTCTCTTAGCTTCAGAGCTGAAATCTTAGAATCCTCAGCACTGTGTAATCAGATTACTGTCTTATGTGTTCCCATTACTGTTGCACTGTGACTTGTATAATGTGTTAATCAGTGTTTGAGAGAAGCAACAGCCATATTCATCAGATACTTGCCATTTTTATCTGACGGCTGATGTTTTCACTTCATGAATGCTTCTGAATTTTTTGTTGTTGCTAATGGAGCTGGTTTACCTTTTAGCTGCCCCCCACCCT